AGTGTTGATCTGTATGAGGATAGGGAGGCTCTACAGAGAGATTTGGATAGATTGGATAGTTGGGCTAATAATGTTAATGGTCTGGGCTTCAACAAGGCCAAGTACCGAGTCCTGCACTTGGGCCACAACAACCCCAGGCAATGCTCCAGGCTTGGGGAAGTGTGGTTGGAAGTGTCTGGCAGAAAAGGACCTGGGGGTTCTGATTGACAAGCGGCTGAATATGAGCCAGCAGTGTGCCCAGGTGGCCAAGAAAGCCAATGGCATCCTGGCTTGTCTTAGAAATAGTGTGACCAGCAGAAGCAGAGAGGTGATTGTCCCCCTGTACTCAGCACTGGTGAGGCCACACCTGGAGTATTATGTCCAGTTTTGGGCTCCTCAATTCAAGAGATATCGAGGGGCTGGATGAGTAGAGAGGAGGGCAGCAAAGCTGGTGAAGGGCCTAGAGAATCTTACGAAGAACGTTTGAATGTTTAGTTTTATCTTCTCACAGGTAATTAGTGACAGAACAAGAGGGAATGACTTCAAGCTGCAAAAGGGTAGGTTTAGACTGCACATTAGGAAAAAAAAGGTCACAGAAAGAGTGGTTAAGACACTGGAATAGGCTGCCCAGGGAGGTGGTTGAGTCACATCCCTGGATGTGTTTAAGCGTTGTTTGGATGTGGTGTTGGTGGATCTGGTTTAGGGGAGAACTTCGTAGAGTAGGGATGATGGTTGGACTCGGTGATCCCAAGGGTCTTTTCCAACCTGAATGTTTTTATGATTCTTCTGTAAATGAAATGTAAGAACTACTCCTAAATACATAGTAGAACAACTACATAAAGTTGTATGAAGACCTGATTTTGGCTACCAAATTAAAACAATTCAAGATATGTTATGCATTGCTAAGAAATCACTACATTAGACATCAGTTATTTGTGTATAAAAACGCATTTTGAAATATCTTAGCTTCCTAAATAGGGCAAGGGGTATTCTACAATCGCCAATCAATCAATTTTGAGAGATTCATCAAGCCTGCCCATCACTAAAAAAATTCCTTCAAGTATACACTATTTTATAATTTTAAAAAGTAATACCATAATAGAAGGACTATACAGAATTGTGCTGTTCTTTTTTCCTAGCATTCATGATTTGTTAAATAAATATGCTATATGGTTTTGGCAAAACAAAATCTGAAGAACTCAGAAAGTAGTTCGCTACTCCAATAGCTTTGAGAACTCCTGCAAACAATTAACCCAGTTCCTGCATCCACGTAGCTGGAATTTCTAACTTCTCTCATTTCCCGCAATGTTTACTTCTGATTCTTGTGCTTGAGACATCATTAATTTTATTTGCCAATTAAATTGCTTTTAATATCCAGTTCTAACAATGAAGACATATGCAATTAAAAATTAATTTCATTCAAACAACAATACAACCATGCTATTTTCATTATCAAATAACAAAAAGCCTAACACAGCCCAGCAAAAACTCTTCTACGGTTTTCAATATATGCAGAACTATGCATGTGTGAGTATGCATACGATACAAAAAAATTAGACACAAACACAATTTAACCTGATACGTGAGCATCCAACTATGACCTACTCCTACTAAATAGTATATTTACAGTGAAATGATGTACATAGTGTCTGTTTAGTCTACCTGAAGACAGGAAAAATGCACACCCAAGAACTAGTGATAAGTCAAAAGTAAGAAAATAATAGCAAACATTTTTTCCTTAATATAATATCAGGCTGTAATTAGTAAAGATCTACACCAGAAAGAGAAGATATTGTAGGTGAAAGTTCTCATTTGTCTCATTGAGGCCAGGTGCTCTTACATTCCTCCTGAGCTGCAAACAGCCAGCCTCTTAACAGCAGATGTACCATCAAGTAATTGATTTTGTCTAGGTTTTTTTGTTTTGTTATGGTCTGGATGTAAGGTATCAGTTGTCTCCTGAAGTGGCAGCAACCATATTGAAACACTATGCTGAGCAAACCTCCTCAGGTAAAGGAACAAGTAAAAAAGGTTAGTTGGTTTACAGGCAGCTGAATGCGGAAATGTAATTCTTAAGAAGGCAAGGAATTCTCCCTTATTGAGATATCAATCCCTCAGACTTTTTCCCAAGTTAAGAGAAACTTAAGCCATCACAGTAAACACTTTAGCAAAGCAGACAATTGTGCCAAGGTCAGAGTTTCATTTTCTCTTCCCTGATCTTGAAACAAGATTTCCCTGTGAAATGAAATGTTTCTCTCTCACCTTCTGAGGTGAACAGGATACATGAAGTTCTTCACTAAAGACCCTGTTCATGCCAGCAGTCCCCAGAAGGTTTTTTCTGGATATGTGGTGGAGGAAACATGGTCTAAGTATGTTCTTACTAATAGAAGAAAAACACACCTTTAGAAAGAGGTGTGCTGTCTTTGACAACTGGGAAAATCTCAGAAAAAAATCTGTACTATTATTTTACTTTTCTTTCAAAGATGTATTTTCTTAAGTCTAAAGCAACTCTCCATGTCTTTTCCCAACCAATAAAGCAGTTCTACATCTTGTAAGTAGCCATCTCAAGAAATTGTTTTATTTGAAAATACACAAGCTGTCAACTCTGCTGTAACATCCATTTTCTGGCTCCAAGCCACTTTGGCTGGTGTAATAATTTTGAACTTATCTTTGCAGTTTGCTATAATCAAGCCTAAACAATCAGCAGGAGAGAAAGCAGACACTTTCTAGTACATAAAACACTTATGTAGAAGTTTATGTACTATTTCTGGATGTTACATGGAAAATAACCAGTTCCTATATTCTGCACACAGTCAATTGGTTTTGGATGGATATGCATCACCTCTGACAAGTAGCTGGAATCCACACACTAAAATTGCTAGAACAGTCTGGACAATACCAGCCTGCTCCAAGATCCAATTCTGTAGCCCACCTACCAGTTTACCTTATTAGCCATTTCTATTCTGGCCATTTCTTCCCGTAAATTATAAAATAACCATTCAGGTTATGCAACAGTTCTTTATGAATCCTATGATCAATAACTTAACACCAAAAGTTGCTGGGAGTGACGTTTCAGGAATGTAAAAACTTCCACTGTCTCAAATAATACCAATTATTTCTGAGAAAGCTGTCTTGTTGCTCTTCCATGCTGAATAAGAGTATTTCTACCACAAATCCAAAAAGATCTCTTAGTGTAGAAATCAACAGTGGTAAAGAATATGTAAACAACTACTGCCTCTTAGGCTGTGATTCCTTAAGTAACAGGAGTTTTTCTTTTGTCTAAGAAACACTAAAGCTAGTCTAAGAAAATGTAAAGCTATTAAGTGTCTATTTGTTCATTTTTAAAGACCAAAAAAGCACAAGAAAACCAACCTTTTCCTATATTATTAATATAAGGGTGCATTTTTTTAACAATAAAGACCACTTTGAGCACAATTTCAGATAACTGAGTGTATTTACTAGCTATTTCCCTGAGAAGTAGGAGAGCTTTTCCTCTTTCTCAGCTGCTCACTTAGAAAGCTCCTCCCTGTATATAAACTATTTCAAAGTAGAGTGCTTTCCTTCCGCTCTCCAGATTACAACTCTACCCTCCCCTGACAATTGCTCTTAAAGTTAACACAAGTCCTGCGCTCATTAATACTAAGTAAAGCAACTGCTTGAATATACTTGGCCAAACAGTCCTGAGTTTAAGCAGCCTTGAAGATGTCTGCATGAGCTGATCCTGGAAGGAAGAGCACAATAGTGGACCAAGTGAACACTTCCAGGAGATGTGTGCAGAACAAATCTTGTATTGAAACACTTACAGAAGCCTCATAAAACATGCATTTATGAGTTAAGTGCCACACCACAGCTGATACATACTCTTACAAATTGAGAGCTGCTTTCAGAATCCCCATCATGCTTCAACAAACAATGTGTAGTTAAAAAAATTAAGAGCAATCACAAGATAAAGTTCTGACAGCATGCCAGAAAAGCAGAATGCCTCAATATGACTATTATGTTGCTTAACCAGCACTTTACCCTTTGATACAGTGCTCTCCATTTTCTTCCCATCTGTGATGATCCTCACCAATCTGTGAGGACTCCTGTTTGTATCTTGTACCTTGCTTAAACCTCCTATGATTCCACCTGATGTATCTGACACAAAGCATATCTAAATGGGTCAGTGAAGCCTTTCCAGCTACCAGCTTTTCTGAAGCCCAAGATCTGTGCAACAATCAGGAAAGAAAAACGAGAAAGTTTAAAAGAAATAAAAGTGGGGGGAGGGGCTAGGGGTGATGTAATAACTACAGCCATCAAATAAAAAACCCAACAAACCTGTAATTTTATGTGAAAACAGTTTCCTTGGTCTATGCAAATCTCCTGCACACAAGCTTTAAGACTGGAATTTGTACCTCATTTCAAAACACACAATTTAAAGCAGTATCAGTTAAAACTGAGATATGATTAGCGCAAAACATTATGAAGCTGTACAATTCCTGATGCATTTTCTGATATGTCATATGTCTTAAGATACAGAAACTGTATTAATTGACAGTCAGGATGAAGATAAAAATGGTCTGGCTCAAGTGTTAGCAGTCCGTCTAAGCTAAAATTTCAAGATACTTTGAAGCTGAAAGTAAAATACAAGTAGCATCATGCTTAAAGCTAAGAGAACTGACAAAGAGGATACTGTCAGGAACACATAACGCCTTCCATATTCTTAAGGCATGAGTACTTTCTTGCTAATTTTTGTGCTTTAACTGTTACAGTAAAAACTTAAGCACTACACATTTCTAAACAAATTCATGTTCAGTCTGGCAAATTGTCAAATTGTCTAACCTCTTGACAGACGCAGCAAACAAATATGGAAATATGCAAATACACAACGTATTCCAGCTGTGTTTCAGTAATGACCAAGTTGATTCTAGAAATATTTTCTTTCAGTTTTAGTAATGCAGTCCCAGGAAATAGACAAAGGTTTTCTGTTGTTAATTCAATTAATTTCTTCTAATATTTTTTTCAATATCTAAACATGGTATTACCTTCATGGCATGGATTTCTTCTATTAATCTCTCAACTCGTTTTTGGTTCTTTAATTTCAGCTCTTCTGAACCCCTGCAAATGAAATTTGTCGTTATTTAAAAAATAAAACAACTGATTTTTTTTAACTTTATTTACCCCTGTGTTAATACTACATAGCAAAATAAAAAAAAAATATCACTAGAGTGAGCATAAACACATTCTATTGCAGTTTTTAGCAAAGAGCTGAACATAATCTAATGCTTTCACTCTTCCACACAGGAAAAAAACCTAAGAATTCACCAGAATAATAAGAATGACAAATAGTACTTTATTAGAAAATGGTAACTACAACTCCTGTCAACACTACATAGGAGACACTGATATCTCAAATATAATTACATTTTAAGTTTCGTAATATTTGTATGTACACCATTGGGCTTGCTTCTTATTTTGCACAATTTGCTAACATTGTGGTAGAAGGGTATGCTCAATTTATACTTTGAATATAGTAACAGATGCCCCCGGTAAGACACATTGTAAGTTACTCTGGATCATTTATCTTTAAAAATACAATTTACAAAATACTGTGTAGACTGTTTATCTAAAGATTAATACTAATTATTAAAAATCAAGTACAATCTGTATATCTATGCAAACCAAACAATATTTTTTGCAATAGAATCTTGCAGACAATTGCAGTGAATGCAGAAATGTTGAACGACTTACATTCAGCAGCAGACTAACATAAAAGGTAAGTCTATCACCATTAAATGTGCTGTAAAAGGTTCTGTAATTGATTTGGATTAGCTTCCAATACACTAACATCCTTTAGAAAATGTCCCAATTCTACTTTATAGAACTGCTTTTGAGTTAGCATTTTAGTCTATCTAAAGTGACAGAAAAATAAGAGAAATGGCACTTTTGCATCATAGTGCCTTAACTTTGAACTGTAATACATGATTTCTCCCTTTGTCTGTTCTTGGGAAAACAATTGTGATACCTCCCCATTGATAAAACACACAAACAAGAACATTCATATTTAAAACTGACTTTTTCAACTTTAATTTCCCAATGTGTCTGGTAAGTCTGCGAATAGTCAGGACTCTGGCCTTCTTCACATCTTTTCTCATCTTCACAACCTGTCAGAAAGATGGAATGCATTATAAAGCTTGTTTTCCTTGATTAGTTTCCACTTACAACACATTCATTACATTGACTTATTTTTTATAAATTAGTTCAACAGAAAGAACCATTTCTGAAAACAGAGTGCATATCCCTGTTAACCAAATCCCAAGAAAATGAATTCAGATTTCATTTAAAATCAAAGTGCTTCCATAAACACCAAAGGAAGAACAATCAACAGTCTGGAAATGAGTCTGAGGTCTAAGCATAAGACAAGACATTCCTAACCAGCCATACTTCAATATTCTTCTCACAGCTAGGCTGAGCTAGAGGTTTAAAAGACTCACCATTTGCCTTCAGTTGTTTTTGTCGTGGTGAAACAGCATCAGTACTTTTCCATTAGTACATGATAAATAAAAGCATTTTCATTATGAAACATTTGTAAAGATAAAGGAAAGACTCCCAAACTAAACAGTACTTACTACAGAACACAATCAGAAATATTAAAATCTTTTTATGTCTTTGAATTGATATTTGTTGAAAATAAGTGATTTGCAACTCACTACAGTCTCTTTCAAATTCCTATGCCACCCAGTACCCTGCTCCCAAAATGTATGTCGAAGTAGACAGCATTAAAGAAAACCTGACAATTACATTCTTGTCATATTTCTTGCCCTAGAATAAAATAAACAGAACTCTGATTATTAGTAGACACATAACAGATCCTGGGAATGTTTTGCTGTTAAAGGTTTTATCATGGGAAATCTTAGGCCTAGACATTGTCTTGTCAAGGATGCACACTTTGGAGATACAGGGAGACAACAGTGACTTAAAACTTCAATTTTTTGCAACTCAGAAAAAAACCCTTATTTATTCAGATATATTGTACTACCAGTATTAAGATTTTGTATTTAGCAGTTAAACTTACAAAATATGAAATATAAACCAAACAACAACAAAAAATCACTCTTCCTGACAAAAAGCCAAATTTCTCTTAAATTTGTGCAGTGGGATAAATTTCAAAATAAGTTTGCACCTATTTCTCAAATAAGTTCTTTTACCTCAGATTTCCATTTTATCTTCTAATTTCTCAGACATATAAAAAAATTATTGCTTGATGGTGACTGCACCATCAAGTCAGTTACACGGGGAATTTTAGTATTATAAACCTGCATCAAGCTTAACCAAGAAAAAAAGGGAAAAAAATAAATCTTTAAAGCTCACAGCAGAATATTTCACACCTATGATGGGAAGCCTGGCTAGTATATATCCCCTGTGCAGAGATCATAAATGTGAGACAATATAATTTATTTTAAAACCACAAAAAATCCCCACATACTCTGCATACCTGATTATGTTTGTTGTTAGATTACCAAAACAAGGTGCAGTTAAGCACTGAACTGTGCTCAGCAGTGGCTCTACTGAAGTTGAATTAGTCACAGTAAAGGCATTTCTAGAGTGGGTTGCATACTGCAGACCCCACTTCTGGCAGGGCAGAGGAAGAACGTGCGGAGCAGTGCTTCCCCGAAAAATAGGGGAGCAGTACTGGCACTTGCATAGAGAAAAAAGGCAAATAAGATTTCTGGGATAAGAATGGCTGATTTAAAATTGTTCTCCTGTTCTAAAATGTTTACAGCAACAGCCATTACTTATCTTGGTTACCCTAGGGAAAACAACTGCACACAGGTCTACCTACAAGCATTTCTACTTCAGTTAATGGTAGAAACCACAACCTAAAAAGCACCTCTGGCCAGTTTCTCCTAGAAAGCAGCACTGCTGAAGTGTCCATGTGCTAAAGAAGATCCTCAACATTACCATTCTCCATCTAAGCATGTAAATATTTCTTTTTATAAGACATTGAATGTAATTATTACAGTTCCCTATATTACGTCTTCTAAATGGAATAAAGAAAATAAAACATTTTCTGGATGAATACCTCTTCGATATGACATATGCTCAAAGAGTTTGGAACTTCAGATGTATACTGGGAATGGTTTCTCTTTTTCTTAAAAAAAAAATAAATTGTAATGTATTTTTAATAGAAGTATTAATGCAGATACTGCATAGTTCCGGGGCCTATGAGAGCCAAAATCCAACCTTCCCTGCTGC